CGGCCGCCCGCCGCGGCCCCTCGGTACCCGGGACGCAGGCGCGCGCCGCGCTAAAGCGAGCGGGCGCGGCGCCCCGGCGCGCACCCGCATCAGCCGGGGGCGCGACCGTGCGGCGCGGGGGCAGCGCCGCTTTGTCCGGCCCTCGCTGCCCTTCACCTCCCCCTCCCCGCACCTTCATCTCATTGTGCTTCCCACGCTTGCCCTTGGGCAGCTTGCTCGGATCGAAATCCGGCGGATAGTACTTGTTGAGCACCTTGCGCTCACCCATGGCTGCTGGCTGACGGGGCTGGCCCGAACGGGCGCGGGAGCGAACTGGTGCGCTGGAGCGGCAAAAGCAGCGAGCGCGGTGACGGCGCTTGGAGCGGCGGCGGTGCTATGTGGGTGAATGGAAGAGCTGTAACCGTATACTATGGTCCTATATATATCAAATGGGATCGTGTAAGTACTACTCCAAGGCCCCCTACACTCTTGCCGAGGGTAGGCGTGCAGCGATCTGGCGAACGGGGTGAGGAACAGGTACCACCAGTGGTATTATTGAATACTGGTGTATGCGTACGCATCTGTTCTGCCCACAACGTTGGATAACTGACGAGTCGCACCCCAGTCGGCACCGGTAACGTGGCTTTCCCTGTGCCGCACCACCCGCCACCCGAAACACGTTGGTGCAAAGACGGTCAGCACTGCGGGAATATCAATTGTGTTCTCTCCTAGCGTGCCTCTGGCAGATCAGATCCACAGACACTCAGCAAGCATGCTGTTGCGGTCACTCGCTACGCAATTAGGGCGCCAGAGACCCTGGGAATATAGTGGAGTCCTGCAGCAGCTGCGCGGGGCGCTGCCGGAGACGACGAATGGCCGGAGCTACAGCAGCGGCAGCGAGGGTGAGCTGCTGCAGCTGCCTTTGCAGGCCTGGTGGCCAGATGGCAGGCTCCGGGACAAAACAGGAGGGCGGCCTGTATCTGTACGGAGCCCTTGAGGCACTGTTGGAGCTGCCTTATGCAGCCTGCTGCAGAAAGCCATTCAACCCGAGCGACCGCCCGTGTTGCCCAGGTGACAATGCAGCAAGCGACCACGCCGCATCGATGGCGGACGATTTCCAGCGGCGGATGCAAGGCAAGCAATTGGAGCGGCCGCCAAGGGCACTGCGCACGTTGGCAACAGGCAGCCTGCCTAGCGAGTGCACGGGGCGCAGTGACGGCATCCTGCGGTCGCAGTCGACGCTCAGGCGTGGCGGCCGACACCATTCTCTCCTGCCCCCCACCACACCCACCCAAGCAGATTTGAGCCAAAGCAACAGCTTTGACGACGTGCTCGCCCGCATACGCGCCGCAGGGGCTGCCTCTGCCTCCTCCGTCCCCCTTGCAAGCAGCAGTAGCAGCAGCGGCGGCAGCGGCGGCGGCGGCGGGG